ATTGTCCCACAATTTACTGTTCCATCTCAACCCCCTCTGTCTCATTACTTCCCCATAATTTATCACTCTTTGTATAAAATGACATGTAAGCTTTTGGGCCTAAGAGCTTCTGTGGATATTGACTTCCCTTATAAAAACTCCCGTGTACATATAAAAAATATTTAATACATTTGTATGCTTTCCTCCTGTTAATCTGTCTTATGTTGGTTTCATGCTTGAGCCAGCCACAGAACCCAAGAGGGTAGAAAGAAGTTTTTTCTCCTCTACAGTTAGGAATTTTTTCAAAAGTGAAACACCTCAAAATACATTAATATGGCACACTTACCTAAAATTAGATGCATTCTGTCTTTGTTAATTTCTGGCAAAGATTTAGCACTAGGTGTTGTTCCTGATGTTTGGTTTAAAGTGACAGAACGTTTTTGCAAGCCAGATATTGCTGCTGCTTCTGCTGACTCCGAACACGTAAATCCTGTGCTATTTAACCAAAGTGCCACTGCATGGAGAATTGGAGCCCAGGAGTTTCTGTAGTGAAGTCTTGCTGTATCAATAGTCTCAGGAGTATAAAATGCTCCACCTATAAAACAGCCAGATCAATCAAAAAACATTACATTCACTGAGAACGTTCACTGACTTACGAACATCTAACTTAAAAATACTTATTACATACTGTCTTAGTCCACTGGATGAACAAAACATACCACATACCAGGTGTCTTATTTTTCTTAATAAGTCTGAGGTCAGGTCTCCCTGGTGGCGCAAGGTGTTAAGATGCAACCTATGAAGCTATCCGCAGCCACTGCGGCACAAGTTTGATCCCTGGCCTGGCCAGGGAGCAATCCAATGGTACAGCAGACCTCTCCTGACTCCCCTGCTGCTCCCCTCAGCAGTGTATTTCAGTCAATCCGCCTGTTCTGTTCCCCACTGTGTCTCTGGTGAATCCTCTCACCCCCCGCACCTCTGGCCTGTACCCCAGTTCTTGTATGCATAAATAAATAAATCTTTAAAAAAAAAAAAAAAAAGAACTCTGAGATCAAGGAGCCAGTGTAGGTGAAGGCCTTCTTCCAGATCTCATAGCCAGCACCTTCTTACTGTGCCATCACATGATAGAAGTGTAGGGAACTCAGGGTGTGTGTGTGTGTGTGTGTATCTCCTTTATAAGGGCACTAATCCCATGCATGGTAGCTTCACCCTCATAACCACACACATTCCAAAGGCCCCCACCACCTAATACCATATTGGGTATTGGGATTGCAATGTATGAACTCTGAGGAGGACTAAAATTTTCAGACCATAGCACATACAAAAGAGCAAACTGGCCAAGAAAATTCTCCTAGTCATAAAGGCACCAAAATGAAAGCCTTTCCTGCTGTTGATAAACTGGGGTACCTGGTTCTTCCTCCCTGATACTAGGGTTTCCAGCCTCTCCTGTGCAACTGCTGATGCCACTGGATGTCTCCTCTACTTTTACTTCCCCCTTGTTGTCATCGGAGTCCTCTTCATTGTTGCGTGTGACTCCTAAAACCCTTATCAATTCTCTATTATAACCTATCTTTTCATTTTCATTTTTCTCCTGCTAGCCTCCCACACCCCCACCCCAGTTTTCACTATCAAATTGAGGACTTCCTCATCTGTCCATGTGCATATATACACTGAGTAGCACAGCAATATATTTCATTGTGGTTATGCAGGACTTGTTATGCAATTATTTAGAATACCCTAGCTCATACAGTTATTACAGTAACAGTGTGAAAAGATTTGCTCAAGGTTACAAATAAGTTTTATGTTGTATCTTAATCTACAAATGCAATATGGAGAATATGCTCTAAGGGAGTGAATGCCAAGTTGAAGTCCACAGACATTTTAGAAGTTACTACTCTGTTATTGCTAACTTCCACCCATCCCCTTTTTGATTAGTCTGAACTCCACAAGAGCAAAACCCGAAATGTAGTACTTACCATCTGGGGGGAGCTGACTAGCAAATTCAGCTGGTAAAGTCAAAAGTGCATAGTCTTTTAAGGCTGCCAACCACAGGCGGCTGAGTGTTGGCAATTCAGGTTGTACAAGTGTTATTAAACTATCAGGCGGCAGTTCATCTATGGCGCCATAATCATCGTCGTCATCATCAGTATTTTTAATTGCTCCTTTTGGTTTTGATTCTGCTTCCTTTTTAATATTCATTGCAACCACATATACCTAGTAATATATCCAAGAGAGAAGTAATAATGAGAAAAGTAATAATGGGTCTTATAAAAAAATAACATATTCAAAGTTGTTAGGATTACAGAGTTGAATCATCAAAAGTAATTGAGTATAGATACTAAAGAGTATACAGTATAATGAATTTCTCCTTGGAAAGAATAATCCCACCTAGTTTGGAGGCAATCTTTTTTATTGATCTGAGTTTGGACTATTCCTCTAGTATATTTCTTGACTTTCTTGTTCCTTCCTGCCTTTTTTTGCTCTTCCTTTCATCATAAGGTATAACTTCCTGTTTACTGCCTTAACTTTTAGACTTGAAAAGTAAGAGAAAAGAAACAATCATAGTATTTTTTATACTACTTTCAATCAAAAAATTAGAGATTTACATTACCTTGAGAAAAAGTAAAACTTTTATCAATGAGAATAGTCATTTTATCAATAAAACAAAAACCACTATTTTATTTCCCCAAGACAAAAATGGTAGCAAGATAAAATTTAGCAATATTCTATGCGAAAGACATATCACATAGACATATCTATAGTCTAAAAAACCAAAAACACTAATTCCCATGACATCTTATTGAGCTCTACATATTTCTGCTTTTTCTCCCATGAATATAAACAAACAAAAAGCCCAGCTTTCTCGTCTAAGCTATATCGTCTGAATTCTGCAGGCTTCCAGAGGGCACTGCCCAATGTGTGGTCAGGTAAAGTGAGAAGCCGGAGCAACAGAGATAGCAATAGAGAGTATCTTGAAATACCTGAGGGCAAATGATAAGAATCTGAAGAAATTGGCAGAAAGAATTTTAAAAAGTAGATGTAAAAGAATATAATTATTTTTTAAAAACAAAAAAGGTAAGATCAGCTATTAAAAAACAAAACAAACAAAAACCTTATAGCTTTGGTATCAATGAATAGTGTAGGTTTCCTAAAATTTAATTAAATAAAGGGTTCTTGGCATAAAATATTTGCTATCATTTATATTTGTAGTTTTCTCCTGCCTAATTTTTCTATAAGGAGAGCCATTCCTCAATACAAAAGTAAAAAAAAAAAAAAACTGATTAAAAATATAATTTCAAGGATTTTTTTTTTTTTTTTTTTTTAGAGGCACGTATTTTATTCATTTATTTACTTGTTTGTTTGTTTTTTGTTTATACATGCACTGGGTACAGTCAGAAGCACGGGAGGGCGAGAGAATTCACCAGAGCCAGAGCGGGGAGCAGAGCAGGCAGAAGGACCAAAGTACACTGCTGGGGGGAGCAGCGGGCGGCAGGAGAGGTCTGCGCGCCATGTGGGACCCTCCTCCGGTGGCCGGGGAGCAGCCGGGGATCGAACTGGCGCCACAGAAGCCGTGGGCAGCTTCGCAACCCAGCGCTCAACCGCTGCGCCACCGGGGAGGCCCAATTTCAAGGATTTAATAAGACTTCTTTCGAGATATAAATTTATATGTATTTCAGTAAGAACAAGTAACCAATTTTTAAAAAGTATCCCCATAAGAAAAATCTGTTTCAAAACAGCAAAAATTTTGGAATAGAAGGTAAGAGGATTAGGGAAATATTTTTTCATGGAGAAAAAGCTCAAAAGCAAGAGGCCATGGTTACCTCTGCCCATGCTTTAAGAACAGCTAGCTTTTCCATGGTGGTGGCGCTCTCTCGGTATAACTGGCTGGAAGATCCTTTTCCAGCCTGCACTTTGTCCAAAGAAGAAACAAGCAGATTGTGCACTCGCCGGAGATCATTGAGATCACTGACAACTCCACTTCCAATCCATGTACTACAGACCTAGCCAAAGAAAATTTAACAAATTTTGTATAAAAAAATAACACAATATATAAGAGTAAATACAATTTTTTCCCCTGTGGGAAAGAAACACAAATCAAAACTAATTAACAAAACAAAAAACTGCCAATGCTATGCTTTAATATATATTTTTTATAACAAATCAACAAGTATAGAATTTATTGTACTCCTATACGGAAAATGAAACAATATTTACTTACATGTCTCCATTATCTAATTTGATAAAAATTTTATTTTATTTATTTTTTTAAAGATTTATTTATTTATGCATACAAGAGCTGGGGTACAGGCCAGAGATGCATGGAGGTGAGAGAATTCACCAGAGACAGAGCGGGAACAGAACAGGCTGACCAACTGAAATACACTGCTGAGGGGAGCAACGGGTGAGTCAGGAGAGGTCTGATGCACCATGTGGGTTGCTCCCTGGCCAGCCGGGGATCAAACTCACGCTGCAGTGGCTGTGGATTGCTACACAGTGCAGTGCTTAACCCCTGTGCCACCAGGAGGCCCTTGATAAAAATTTTAACAGAATAAGTCTTCTACCTAAATCAGTTCTGTCACGAAAAGTTTTCGACAACATCTCAGCTTATTATAGGCAAAGGGTTATTCTGGGTTCTGTAGAAAAGATTTGAAAAGAAAAAAGGAAAGGGAAAACATAGCCTCTATTAGATGCTGTCCTCAAGTAAAAAAAAATAGAGTCAACAGATGAGAATGTCTTATAACTGCAATACTATGCTTGAAAACAAAGAAGAGATCAATCCTAGTGGGAGAAATGGACGTGCTCACACAGGAAGGTGTGTATGTCTAGGTATAGGGGAGTTACATAAGGGAAGAGATGAGATTAGGAAAGTTAATTGGGATCATGTAATTGGAAAGTACAAATTAAATTCCATCTGCCCTGAATTAAGACTTTGTTCCATAAGATAGCGGGCCTACCGTGGGAGTGGGACGGAAGCCACAGATTTCGTGTGGAGGCATCTTTGAGCCTGGGGAGTAGACACCATGAGCAAAGCTCACCCTCCTGAGTTGAAAAAATTTATGGATAAAAAGTTATCATTGAAATTAAATGGTGGCTGGGCCTCCCTGGGAGCACAGCGGTTGAGCGCTGGGTTGCGAAGCTGCCCGCAGCCTCTGCAGCGCCGGTTCGATCCCCGGCTGCTCCCCGGCCATGGGAGGAGGGTCCCACATGGCGCGCAGACCTCTCTTGCCGCCCACTGCTCCCCTCAGCAGTGTGCTTCGGTCCTTCTGCCTGCTCTGCTTCCTGCTCTGGCTCTGGTGAATTCTCTCACCCTCCCATGCTTCTGACTGTACCCAGTGCTTGTATAAATAATAAATAAATACATAAACAACAAATAAATAAATAAATCTTTAAAAAAAAAAAAAGAAAAAAGAAATTAAATGGTGGCAGACATGGCCAAGGAATACTCCAGGGATTTGATCCATTTAGGAATCTTGTGATAGATGAGTGTGTGAAGATGGCAACTAGTGGGCAACAGAACAATAGTGGAATGGTGGTAATATGAGGAAATACTATCATTATGTTAGAAGTCTTGGAATGAGTATAAGCATTGGCTGTGTTTGTTAGAGAAATCAGTTGCTTCCCCATGTCCCCTTCCACAGCATCTTTTTACTATGATAATAAAAACTGGGTTGTGTACATTTTCTTACTGAACTTTTTTGTTAAATAAACTTCTGTAATAGTCAAAAAAAAAAAAGACTTTGTTCCATAGATAATCATGAGTTTCTAAGGTTCCTGGGCAGGAGGATATTATTAGATTGTGCTTTAAGAAAATTGCTCCAGTACTTATGTGTAGGAAAGGATGTGTTGAGACAGTAAGCAATATGTTCAGCTAAGTGACTAATATACATCAGAGATGACACGGATCAAACTGGGAATAGAATGAAAAAGGAAAGGCATCTGAGAGTGACTTGAAGGTACAAATCACAGAATTTGGAACTATTAAACATTTTGGTGGGAGGGCAGGAACATGAAAAAACATGAGGAATCAAAGACTGCCTAAATTTAATTGCCAGAGCTTCTAACTAGGGTAATGGAAAGAATGTGTCACTACTGCTTAAGAGAGGTAACATAAAAAAATAGGAAAGTTTATTGGAGGTAAAAACTTAGAGAATATGATTTTGATTAGGAACATTTTGACATGCTGCGTTCAAAGTACCAGTAAGAGACTCATAGAAAGATAGTCAGCAGGCAGTTGGAAACAGGTCTGGATTTCAGAAGCAGGGTCAAAGATAACCATGTAGACCTGGGTATCCACACAAAGGTGATAACTAAAGTAATGTTAGATTAATCAATACTGTAGTCTCAATCAGCTTCATATCAGGGACAATGAGTATCATCAGCTCAGGTCTGCTACCAAATAAGTGATGAAAAAGCTTTTACAGAGCATTTGGATATGAAAAAGTTATTCAGAGCATTTGCAGGCAGCAATGCTCACCACTCTACCACCACCACTATTCAGAGCTTTTGGATACTGAATCATAGTTAATGGATTGTGTTCCTAATTTTAAAACTCTTAAATAGTTGAGAATACTTATGTGTACTACTTTATTCTCCTATAATCTTATTCTCAAAGAACTAAAAAGTAAGTTTGATACAAATTAATAGTAGATTTAAAAACTTGTTATCATATGGATGGCAAAATGCCAGTCAAAACAATGTTGAAGATACAATAATTATTTTTATTTATTTATTTATTTATTTGTTTGTTTTGTTTATACATGCACTGGGTACAGTCAGAAGTGCGGGAGGGTGAGAGAATTCACCAGAGCCAGAGCGGGGAGCAGAGCAGGCAGAAGGACCAAAGTACACTGCTGAGGGGAGCAGCGGGCGGCAGGAGAGGTCTGCGTGCCATGCGGTACCCTCCCCTGGTGGCCGGGGAGCAGCCGGGGATCGAACCGGCACCGCAGAGGCTGCGGGCAGCTTCGCTACCCAGCGCTCAACCGCTGCACCACTGGGAGGCCCTACAATAATTATTAAGTAAAAGAGACATGACAGTGAAAACAAAGACGTGTTATTCCTAGGGAAACTAAATGTGTTAGAGAGATTTGACAAATATGTCTGTGAAATTTACCAGAAATATGGCTAAAAATTTGGGAAAATTATAAAAACTGAGGATTTGAAACAAAGCTTGCTTTGTAAAAACCTAAATACTGTCTCTACTTTAAGGAACATGACTAGAAATTGCATTATGAGTTTGGTATATGTAGAAAGATAAAGCAGCACTGAGTCAGCAAAATAATATTCAGAGACAGACGAGGGCCTTACATGAAAAGAGTGGTGAATGAATACACATTTGTAAATTTTAAGTTGAAATAAAATATTTAGAATATATGTATGCTTGTGCTTGTGAGCTTACTTTAAGTAATTTTTGATTAACCACCATCTTCAAGTGTGTTACATTTGAGGGTCTTCTTATAAAGTCTAAGAATTACCCTTATTTTCAGGCTTAGTAGGATGTTTATTCTAGTAAACAAGCTGGGAAGCCATGTTTCATGATCTGTCCAAAGCTAACTTCCTACTTTCCCTTAAGGAAAGGAACTTGCAATCCACTGTTCTGCCTTTTTCAAAACCACTTTTCCTCCTAGGAAACAGAAGGACAACAGGTCAAGAATTTGTCTGCCACTAGAAAGGCAGATGTTTCTTTCAAAAAAAAGTAGATAGGGTCAAACAGAAATAAAAAGTTGAAGGCAAATCCAATAATAAGAAATTTTCACACTTCTCTTTCACAAGATGAAATTCTAATAATCAGGAGTTCTGCAGAAGGTTTATCAGCTTAAATTCTATGCTCTAAAACATCAACACAAAACACTCATTTATACAGGAATATATTTCTAATGTCTATAAGTTGGCATCCCAGCACAAATGACTCATGTTAACTCTAAAGTACCATGATCCACAGACCTCTTCCTTAAACATGGCTCCCTCTTCTGTCTGCTACTGGTGGGAGTTCATTTCTCTGAAATCTGCTTCAGAGAAATTAATTTTAACAGTGAAAAAAAGAGACACTCCTATTCAGACACAGAGAGAACAACGTCAGACGTCAAAACTGTCAGAACATTCTCTGCAAAGAGGTGACAGGTAGGTAGCTTGATTATATTCCAAGTAAAAATGACAACCCCCCAGTCTGTAGTTCAGTCTGTAGTTCAGAAAATGTTGTTTCTCTTCTATTCTTAAGAAATCGATAAAGGGGCCTCCCCTGGTGGCGCAGCGGTTGAGCGCTGGGCTGTGAAGCTGCCCGCAGCCTCTGCAACACTGGTTGGATCCCCAGCAGCTGGCGAGGGTCCCACATGGTGAGGCAGACCTCTCCGGCCATGCCCAGTGCTCCCCTCAGCAGTGTATTTCGTCAGTCTGCCTGTTCTGTATCCCGCTCTGGCCCTGGCGAATTCTCTCACCCTCCCGCACTTCTGACTGTACCCAATGCTTGTATAGATAAATAAATATTTTAAAAAAAAAGAAAGCAGATAAAGAATGTGATTTTCTGAATAGAGTTTAATGCATGAATCCTTTTTTTCAGGATGAAGCAGGAAAAAGAGGAACTTATTAAAGGTGTAAGAACACATGTGCTTTAGTGACTCTCTTCAGATACGAGAATTTCCTCTCGGATTAGCTTTGCAATGAAATGTCTATTTTGAAATTCATTTTAGGATAATTTAATGCCCAGAAACTTGTAGAAATATTATAACTTGTAGCAAAAAAATCTTTTATTACCTAATTATCATTACTATACATTCTTTAATTACTCTAAATTTTTCAATCTTTTATTTTAGTTTCAATTATAATTTTCATCTCTGCTCACTTCTGGAGATAAGAACTATATGCCCCAAAGTCATGTCCTCAGCTACGACCAAAAATGAATATTCTGTATTCATTTCATACAGAATAAAAAATGAAAATGTCACTGCTGTATTTCCAAGAAAAAAAGAAATTTAATTTTTCTTCTTAGAAGTGAAATTCTAAGATATCTATGAATGTATAGATGATAACTATAGAAAACCCCATTTTTTTCTTACCTGACATGCTTTTGCTATTATGTCTGATGGAGTGTCTTGTGAAAAGGCTGGTCTTAGAGCAGCTCCCACCTACAAAAACAAATACAAGCATTTTACTTTTAAAGATAAGTAGTAAGCTCAAGGCCTCTTGTGTCCTTGGATATGAAAATACATAAAAGACATCTTTGTTCTGTTCCATTTTATTACAGCTGCCTTATCTCTTTTCAGCTACAATAAACTCAAACATTTTTCTTTTACTGTCCAGGAAGTTATCATTAGCAAATCTATATGAATGCAATACCAAATAGATACAATTAAATTTGTTTCTTTTTCCTTTGTTTTTGTTTAGTAAGTACATTTTCTGATAGTTGCATGCTCTCAGATAACAAAAAAGGAGTTTTTTTCTGTCTAAATTTTCCTGAACATATTTTTATTAGTATTTACCTAAAGAGTGAATCTCATTCACCTGGATCAATTCTTTTAAATACTTAGTACTAAAAATTCACACAGTCACTAAAAGTCCTTAGAGATTATTTCACCTCAACAGAGACACTTCATTTATTTTAAGAAGAGATACTTAAGGAGGGTTGCCAAGAAATATCAATTTATATGTTGTTGCTATAGTAATAAACTAAGGGATATGAGCTTTAGTTTTAATAAAATAATAGCCATTAATTCTTAGAGATATTAGACTTATACAAGTAAGTTGGATAGGAATTAGATGTATCAACCCTATTTTGAGCTTTCTTCCCTAACACTAGAGCTCCACTTGCTAATGCATATCAGCAGCTATTTGGAAATGAAGCAAAAGTCCCTCTCTGTGACTAAGGACACACAGCAACAAACTGCAGTATTGGTATCACAAAAGTCAATTCATCACAGACTTGGCATTAGGTCCTGTATAAGGAAAAATACTATAAAAGAGATTGGGCCAACTGATAAAACTGGAATATAATTGATCACATAAAAGTAGTCCATTAATATTGTTTTTCAGTAAATAACAGTTATGCAGTTAACTAACACAATGTTACTGATTGTCCTTTGGAAATACAGACTAAAGGCACATGATTTAAATACTTTAATTTTAGATGGTTGAGAATAAAAGTATGTGTGTGTACTTGTGTGTTAGCAGAAAGAGAGATTCAACATCAAGGGAAATGACACAAAGTTAACAATTGGACAATACAAGCAAATACAAAAGCTTCTTGTACTCATCTTGCAAGTTTTTTGTAAGGTTGAAATTATTTCTATATAAAAAGTAAAAAAAAAAAAAAAAAAGAAAGAAAAAAAGACCTTCATTAGCAGGTTGGGCATTTGGGACTAAAGAATGATACATAGGTTTTCTATAGCCAGTGGGTTAGAAACTGTAAGTTCTTCACGTGTACTTAACATGGAAAAACAATGGATTACATATTATTCATAACTTTTTTTTTAATATTTACTTATTTATGCATGTAAGAGCTAGGGTACAGGCCAGAAGTGTTGGGGGCGGTGAGAGGATTCACCAGAGACA